TGGTTGCTCCTGCTAGTCCGTCGACCTCCCATGTGCGTCTCTACTGATGCCTTCTGCTACGTCTAGCCATGGACGACCACGGACTGCCCAGCATGTTCAGCAGTAGAAGCCGCTACTGCTTCACCGCCTCCTCGACGCCACTGCTTCGTCTTCAAACGACACCAAACGACCATCTTCTTCGATCATCCGTTCGTGGTCGTCTTCGGCGTCAAGTTATTTTGGTGCGATAATTGTTTCCGGGAAGATTTGTTTTCGTTCGAGTTCGTCGTCGTTCCGATCCGGTTAGTGGGTTTAAGTTTCATTTCTGCCAATATTTTGTTTTGATATTCTCGGATCTGAAATTAGTAGATGTTTGATTCTTGTTTTTCGTTCATGTTTATCGTTTCTTGATTATTGCTTCAGGTTGTTTCATTTGTTCTAGTTTATTTTTTAATATAGAAATTTTTAGTTTAATTATAATATTGTTAGATTTAAGTTGAAGTTCAAGTAATTATTTCTTTAGTTTGTTTTTATTCATTTAAAAGGATTTAGTTTTAATATAGAAATATGTTAGTTTGATAACTTGAATCTTTCGTTTTGATTGTAATATTGTTAGATTTAGTTTGAGGTTCAATTGGTTATTTAATTTAGTGATTTGAATCTGTTTATTTGTTCCGTTTAAGCTTAATTTGAATTTAAACTCAGTAATTTGAACATGCTTGTTTGTTATTGTTGTTGAATCTGAAAATAGGATGTTGTTTAAAAATATTGTTCAGTCAAAATAATTCTGGTTGTTTCTTTGTTGTTCATCGTTTAATTTGAATTTGTTGATTGAATTGGATTAAGGATTGGTTATAGCTGCTATATTTTGGTTAATTGATGAGGTGAATTGGTTATAGCTATTAATTGGATTTTAGTTTTTAGACAATGTTTGAAGTTTGAACAGCTTTTTGAATCAGGCCAGTAACAATAGTTTTAGGGGTAATACGGGAATTAATCAATTGTAGATTTATTTAATTTGAAGTGCTCCGTCTACTAGGCTTAATAATATTAAAATATTGTAGTGGGGGACAAGACAAAATGATGTAAAGCAAAAAAAAAGGGGGGTTAATGATGATGTCTTCTTTGACCATTCAAAAAGGGGGGAACCGTGGGGTCCGTGTTGACTACTTTGACTTAAGTAAAAATCAGAAATAGTATAGGTAGTAATAAAAAGTTAAAAGTTATACATAGTAGAAGAATATTGGGGAAAAAGTAAAGAGGTAAAAAGAAAAAGGTAGTCTTGTTTTGGGTATAAGAGGACTCATTTAACACTTAGAGAGGGGAGAAGAGAGAAAAAAGAAGAACGGAGGGAGAGAGAGAACAAAACTAAAAAAAAAAATTCTACTTTCCTTCATTGTTTGAAATCAGCATTAATTGCTATTGTTTCATCGAAGATTGAAGCTTCTTTCTTGGGTTACTACTCTACCGGTTTGCAAACTCTGTTACTGGTCTATTCCGGTGTTGCTGGACTGTTGTTGTTGTGCTGTATTATTACTACTGCTGCTGATTCTCATCTTCCTCTTCTCTTGTATTCAATACCAGGTACATGGCTGTAACCTTGTCGATATTGTAAGCTGAAAATGTGAAAGCATGAATACATATGAAGAATGGAACTTTGAAGTTTTAATTTCGCTTTTTCTTCGTTTCTTTTACTGATTGTATTTAGGCTATTTCATGTATTACTGTTTAATAATTGGAATAACAGGAAAATGACATAAGTTGGTCTTTAGTGAATCAGCTTGGCAAAACGGGTTAATTCATTAGCTATGAAGGTTTTAATATGGTCAACAGTAGGTTAATCATGAATGGGTAGCTAAATTTATTTAAGGCGTGATTTGAGTTCAAACAAGACTAGATAATGTCTAAGTTTAATAAACTTTCTAATAAGCTTTAGTAATTATGGTTAAATCTAGTTTCAAATGGTTGTGAATAATAAATTCCAATAGTTTTTTTATACAACAATGCGAGCTTCAATCTAACTATATTTGATTTCTTTTGAATATTAGTTGTCGAATTTCTTATTTTATTTATAATTTCGAATTTTCTTTTTTTTTTAGTAAAATTCCTTTCCATTAATATTTGTTTTTATCTAGCAATTAGTATATTAGGTTTTCTTAATTTTTTTAAAAGCTCCTAATTAATTAGGATTTTCTTTCTTTATTTTAGAGACTAATTTTAATATAAAAATGTAGTCATTTAAGGATTATCCATTTAAAAAATAAATGAGATGAGCCTCACCTAGTAAAACGTATAGATTGCGGGGCCCTCACAAATGTATGTATTAATTACTTAGAACTCGGGATCGACCGCTTAGCGAAATTCACGGCTTTTTCCAAAAATAACCATGCGCTAGTCGTTTTAGGCACGCATTCTAATAATATTACCTTCTTAAACTCGGGTGTGCATTTCATGCGACTCAAATCCAAATACCAAAATATTGAATAAAATGTGTTCCGGATTGCGGGTGCATTTCATGTGACACAATCCAAAGACATGTTTTAAACGATGTTCACATTCTAAAAATAAAAAATAAATAATAATAATAATAATAATAATAATAATAATAATAATAATAATAATAATAATAATAATAATAATAATAATAATAATAATAATAATAATAAAAGCGGCTAAAAGTTAAAATTCGCACATAGGTTCAACATGTATTAAATCAGATAATCAAGCCGAATATGACAGTTGAGCGACCGTGCTACCAGACCAGATCCATACGTTGGAATCTAACTGCAAGTGGACCAAGGCCAAATCCTCAAGGTTCTTATCATTATGGGTTGATCAAGCCTTCGCGTACAATCATTCTTGCCAACTCTGCCCCATATATAAACGGCAAACAGAGATATGCTATCAACGGTGTCTCGTATGTTGATCCGGACACACCATTAAAGCTGGCTGATTACTTCAAAATTGGAGGAGTCCTTAACCTTGGTGGCATCTCTGACCAGCCTTACAATGGAAATGGTTATCTTGGAACCCCTGTTATGGCTGCTAACTTCAGATCTTACGTTGAGATCGTTTTCCAAATTGGGAGAACTCTATCCAGTCATGGCACATTAATGGCTATTCTTTATTTGTTGTCGGTATGAATGGTGGACAATGGACTCCAGCGAGCAGATCGCACTACAACTTAAGGGACACAGTTGCACGTTGCACCACTCAGGTTTACCCCAAGTCATGGACTGCAATATACATGGCATTGGATAATGTAGGAATGTGGAACATAAGGTCTGAGGATTGGTCAAGGAGGTATTTGGGACAGTAATTCTACTTAAGAGTTTACTCCCCATCAAATTCTTGGAGAGATGAACTTCCAATACCAAAGAATGCTCTCCTTTGTGGCGGAGCTAGACATCACCACACTAGGCCTCTTTGAAACAGTAATATTTCTAATTTTCCGTCACGAGAGGGTGACCGGCTTATATCGTGTAAACCAAGGGAAAGATTAATCTGGGAAGAGTGAAGACGCTGAGTTTGAGCTATGACTTATAGTCTTTTCTTCTCTTTCTATATGATATGTATCCTATTTTCTGTTGTTGTAATTGATGGAATGTATCATTTCACATTTCATTTTTTTCTCCAAATTTTTGGTTAAATGCCAAATAGATAAGCAGGGAATAACTTCTTTACTTCAAAGGAAGAGTATATCTTTATTTAGTAAGTTCTTAATCCCATTGCTCCTGAACAAATGACTATGAAAAAGAGTCGTGTGGCGGAGCCAAACTAGAAAAGGTACGTCTGATCTAATGACCGATCAACATGTTTATGAGGAGAAATTATCACGGAATGAACTATATGTAATGAAACTTAGCCAGAGTGATGGCTGAACATGATTTGGTAAAAAAAAAAACATTAAATAAGCAATCAAGTCTAAGTACAAAAATATGCTTATTTTGGGAAAGGATTCAGTAAGGAAAAATATCATAATAAAGGAAAAGAATCAATTAACTTTAAATAGGCAAGTGAAATTAGAGTTCATAAAAGAAAAGTTCTGAAATCAATCACAAGATCGAGATCAATCAAGGAAGTAACATGCTTCTGCACTTTAGTATTTAAACAGAGTGAGTAGAGACACCAGACATGTGAGGCCAAACCCATTGGCAAAAGAAACAGCATACAGAAATAGGCATAAGGTTCAGTAGTAAAACAAACATTCGAAGCATAGTAATCAAGTAGGTCAAGTCACATTGAGTCAACAATGGAGAAAACAAAGTATCAGAAACATGCAAAGGTCTCACAGTAGTAGACAAGAAAACCTTTTGAAAAGTTAGGGTTTCAAGCATAGTCGAATTTTAAAGATAATAAAACCCAGAATTATAGGAATCACACAAAGAAAAAGAGATTCTGAAATAAGGAACTTCAAATCGGGTCAGGTATTCAAAAGAATCGTTTCAGACCCAAGACATAGGGTTTTTTTCAACAATAGTCGAGCTTAAAAGATGATAAACAAATAAATCGAACAAAAACTTAACCAAACAAGCACTCATCTAACAAACAGCCAAAAGAAATTAGAGTTTTTTTAAACATGCTAACTCAGATAGAAGAACAACATGAGAAAAACATAGCAAGATTAGAAACACGTTAAAATCAGAGAATAGATTTTGAAATAACTTAAAAAAAGAACCCTAATCAGAAAAGATAAAGAGTCGTTTTGAGAGAAAAGTTAAGGAAACTTCGAGAAAATTCTTAAAAGTTCAAGGTAAGCACAGATCTAAGGTAGATCTGGAAGAAATCGAAAAGATCTTAGAGATTAGGGTTTCAGAAAACCCAGGAAGGTGAGAAAGGTCCTGAAATTTACCGATCTAACCAGGAGAGTCAAGGATCTGACTCGAGTGGCCATGGCTGGACGGAGAAAGGTTAAGGATGACCAAAGAAGAGCCATGAACTGAAATCGAATAAGGACTGGACCAGACTCCTTTAAGGTCTCTCCTTGAAACCATAAGAACAAATACATAGAAACCATGGAAGGCTATTATATGCCTCAAATGACTACGGAAGGCCATGGATTAGGTAGGTATTAGGGTGGGGTGAGAGGGCGGCGACTAGGGTTCATGAGTGTTTCAGAGAGAGTTGAGAGAGGAAGGGGGTTTCAAGGGCGACGTTAGTTGGGAAGTGAATTAGGTTAAGGACTTGGTTTGGGTTAAAAATGGTAAGGGCAGCCGGTGGCCGTTGATCTAAATGATCAACGGCTGGGATTTAAAGGGTTAGGTGGGGTTTCGGGTCTGGGTCGGTTTAATTTTGAAATTGGGTCGGGGTAAATTGGTTTCAAATTGGGGTTCAAATTAGGCTGAAATTGAAATGAAATCTGGCTAGATTTTAAATAGCCATTTCCCCATTTATTTTATAAAAAATAGCAAATTAAATTCTAAAAATAAATTGAAAGTACTAGAATGATTTATAAAATATAGTTATATATTTAAAAATACTGGACTTAATTTTATAACCATAAACGCAATTAAATCTTAAAAGAGGCCAATATTGCAATTATATGCAATTTTGCTTTAAAAATACTAAATTAATTTGTAAAAAAAATATGCAAAAATTATCTTAGCTATATTTTAGCATAAATATGAGAATCCAATAAATGAATCACCAAAATGATAATTTTTGGGAATTATTATTGGTTTTTTTATGAATAAAATAAGGAAATAAAATGGTTTAAAAATCTTTAAAAATTAATAAAAAATAATAAAATATTTGGACATACTTATATATGCATACAAATGATATTTTGAAGGTATTTTGCATATTAGAAAATATATAGGAAAAAATTGGGTATCAACAGTTGTCCCTCTTTATCCGGAAAGGATGAAAGAGTTGTCGGGTAAAGATATGATGGCCAATTTTCACCGAGCGAAAAGGTTAAGAGAGGTTTAGGCCGCGCCCTATCTTCTGAGATGCCTACATATCCCTGGTTTTACAAGAATCATGCCATATGTAGTTCAGGATCCGTCGGCGGAGTATGCCGGTGGAGACTTTTCGAGAATGGACGCAATATCTAGGGTCGAGTGAGTGGCAAGTTTATGAGAAGGGTTAAGATATGGCTGCGGGAACTAGAGCGGGATTGCTCCTACCGAGATGGATGTTGCTCGCCAGTGTACCTGTAATTTAGAAACCCTACCAGCGTATACCGCGCATGAATTTAAACATGATGAAAATTCCTGTTGGACCATGAATGTTGTCTTCGGACGGTTAGAATGACGTCCTTAGACCATGATATCCTGGGCCATGAAGCATATGATAAAGGATTCACAGACCATTAAATGATGCTCTCGGGCTGTGAGGATGGTGCCTCCGAACCATGATGCCTTTGAACAATGATATGCAAAATTAAAAGGGATCCTCAGTCCATGACATTGTGTTCTCGGGCTATGAAAATGGTGCCTCCGAACGATGATGCCTTTGGATAATTTGGCGATCTTTCAGCCCATGAGATGTAGTATGTGACAATCTTTCAGCCCATGAGATGCAGTTTGTGGTGATCTTTCAGCCCATGAGATGCAGTATCAGACGATCTTTCAGCCTATGAGATGCAGTATGCGGCGATCTTTCAGCCATGCAGTATGAGGCGATCTTCCAGCCCTATGTATGCAGATGGAGGTAGAGCTTAACCTCGGATGGCAGAATGGTATCCTTATGCAATGCAAAAATGCATATGGAGACAGCGTTTAGTCTCGGAAGGCAAAATTGTAGCCTTATGCAGTGCAGAAATGCAGATGGAGACAATGTTTAGTCTCAAAACACAAAATGGTAGCCTTATGCAATGCAGAAATGTAGATGGAGACAGCGTTTAGTCTTGGAAGGCAAAATGGTAGCCTTATGCAATGCAGAAATGTAGATGGAGACAGCGTTTAGTCTTGGAAGGCAAAATGGTAGCCTTATGCAGTAAATAAAATGGCAAGGGGTAATACAACTTTCTTAGCTGATAGCAGGTTGCGATATTATGACTATTGGGGATATTGTGACACACGGAATGTCACTGGTGTGTATGGATAGCAAATGTGGATAAGTGCAACGGTTTTGAGAGTTGTATTCCCGAACAATGTTCGTCTCGTGAGTGTATAGTATGTTTGATGATTTCACAATCCAAATGTCTGCATCCAAAGAAAAATCGTGAGTTTTGTAAAGGGGGCAGTTAGTTCGTATTCCCGCTTGCTCTGCTTGACCTACTCGGCTTTGATCTAGTGATATTGTTTGTATTATTGTGGTAGTGTTGCTAAACAAGGCAATTTCATTAATAAACATGCATGATTTAGTAAAAAATGTGACATAAGTATATAATTAAGATTAACTTTTTAGATGAACCGACGATTGTGACGCGGTTCAGGACATTGCAACCTCTCTTGCTACGGAATTTTGAGGGTCCTCAAAATTCTGCCCCAGTTTATTGGCTTGATGTTTTTGACCGTTGCTTGCGATGAGTGGCTAAAATTACTTCGGAAATTTGAGGGTCCTCTTCAAAATTATTCCCCAGTTTCCAATTGCGGCGGAAATGAAAATTTTATTGAATTGTGACCGAACCCATAGGGCTGCCTACGTATCCCCTCTTAAACGGGAATTAGGTCAGACGTAGTTCAAATTACATCATATAAGGGAAGCATAAAGATTACACATAGTAGCGCTTGACTACATCTGAGTTGATTGGTTTTGGCCATACTTCTTCGTCCATTTCTGCAATTATGAGGGCTCCTCTTGTCAAAACCCGGTGAACCATGTATGGACCCTACCAATTGGGAGAGAATTTCCCTTTGGCTTCATCCTGATGCGAAAACATTTTCTTCAACACCAGCTGTCCTTGTGTGAACTGTCTCGGCTTGACTTTTTTGTTGAAGGCTCGGGACATTCTATTCTAATAGAGCTGACCATGGCAAACTGCATTCACTCTCTTTCCGTCTATAAGGGCTAGTTGCTCATAACGACTTTTCACCCACTCCGCATCATCGAGCTCAGCTTCCTGTGTGATCCTTAGGGAAGGAACTTCTACCTTAGCGGGAATGAATGCCTTTGTACCATAAACCAACATATAGGGGGTTGCCCCGGTTGATGTGCGGACTGTGGTGCGATACCCCAATAATGAAAATGATAACTTCTCGTGCCACTATTTATGCTTCTCTATCATTTTCTCAATATCTTCTTGATATTCTTGTTGGCGGCTTCTACAGCTCCATTCATTTGAGGCCTATAGGCTATGGAATTCTTGTGTTTTATCTTGAAGGTTTCACACATAGCTTTCATCAGGTCGTTGTTGAGGTTGGATCTATTATC